ACTGCCCTGGGATAGAAGCTGTTTTTCAGCCTATTTGTCCTTGTCTTTATTATTGTCCTGTACCGTCTGCCAGATGGTAACAGTTCAAAAAAAAGGGTTCCCAGGATGAGATGGATCTTTGAGAATGTTTTGAACTTTCTTAAGGCAGCGGGAGCTATAAAGCTCTTCCAAAGAGGGGAGAGAGCAACCCATGATCCTTTGGGCAATGACTTTAACCCTCTGGAGTGCTGTCCTATCTGCCCCTGTGCAACTGACAAACCAGGTGCAGTAAGTTAAGATACTCTGTATGGTGCAGCGGTAGAAGGTTACCAGCAGTTTTCCATTAAGTTGTTGCATCCTGAGAAGCCTCAGGTAGTATAATCTCTGCTGGGCCCTTTTGACCAGGGCTGCAATGTGAGCAACCCAGGTCAGGTCCTCTTTTAGGGTAATACCCAGAAACTTAAAACTGGCCACATGCTCCACTCGGTCTCCCTTGATAAGCAAGGGCTGGATGTCTGATCTACTCCTTCTATAGTCCACTATCAGCTCCTTGGTCTTATTGGTGTTGAGGACCAAGTTATTGTCTCCACACCACGAAAGCAACCGGTCCACCTCATCTCGGTAGGCAGACTCATAGAGAGTAGTGTTTGAATAATACACACACAGCACACAGATACACTGTACAGAAAATGTAGGTTTTTACTTCCAGAAAAGTTTAAGCAAAGTTCAAAACAAGCAGTCCAAAGTCATTCACAGGTAAGATCAGTCAGTTTTTAGTCCAGGGATAATCCAATAACAAAGTCCAGTGTCAAAAACAGTTCTGTAACAGACTTACATCAAATCCAAAATAGCAGTCAAATAGGAACGGCAATATTCTCCAACAGAAGGAAACAAAGACTCACTGAGACATACGCTCTTCTGAGACTAAAACAACCCAGGTTTCTGGCTCCATCTTATGGCTGTTTGAGAAACCACACCCAAATACAGTTTTGCATTTTCTTAAAGATACAGTTTTAAAATGTCTATCCTGGTTTATATATTGTCCAACCCAAATAGCTGTTAGGTAACTTACATTCCTAACAAGGACTATCTGTAATAATTAGCTAACATTTGAGGACTTATACAGGAGGAAAAGCAGACTTTCTCCAATTAAGAAATACTGCACTTAATTGGATAAATGGCCTGAATATTAACATACAGGACTGTCATGCCCCTGTTGGAATCTGATTCCGAGGGGGAGGTCGAGCAGCTGACAGGGAGTGGGAGTGTGGCTCTGGTGGCTGTGGAGGAAACTGGGGAAGGGCACAGTCCAGCTGGGCATTCAGAGGAAGACCCAGGCCCACCCCCTCTTCATCCTAGGGCACACAGGGAGAAACGGAGAAGGGAGCAACGTGGGTTATGGGGGAGAAAAGGGCCCTGATTCCCTTCATTAGCTGCAGTTGGGAAAACAGGATTTTAAAAGGGTGTTTGCGCACAGCACCTTGCTGGAAGCAAAGTGTGCATTATCTCTGTTTGTCAAGTCTTATCTGGGTTCCTGGTGTCCTCCCAACTGTGTGTTTGTTAGAAGTCTGCAATTCCTTATCCTGTCCTGTCTTGTTAATTGCTGCAGCTGTGGTTTGTGTTGGTTTTTATTTATAATCTATATGTACTTTGGGTTCAGACTGAATTTCTTCCCTTTAAAAACTGTTCTTGGGAGAGTTTTTTTCTCCAGCCGATGATAACTGGACATTGGGGGCCAAGTTGGAGGAATTAAAGGGACTTTACCTACTTTTGTGACTTTGTTGCTTTTGTGCAACCCCCCTGGATTATCACAAGCACATTTATTTTATTTTCATGAACCAATATATTTTAAAATACAACTTGTAACTGTTAAGATGCAACTTTTTAAATTACTTTTAACTTAACAAAATTGACCATATATCTCCAGCGTATGTGCATCATATTATTATTGTGTTCTTTCTATGTATCCTGACTGCTCCTCATGCCACACATGCAATAAATACATGTAAATTGTGAAGGATCTGAGCAGGCCTCCCATTGATTGGATGTGATGAACGAAATCATAGTTTTCCAAGCTGGGCTATTTTAAGAGGGGTGGACTTCAACTCCCAGAATATGGCTGGCTGGGGAGTTCTGGGAATTGAAGTCCACCCCTTTTAAAACAGCCAAGCATGGGAAATGCTGACTAAAGGATGAAAAATTAGGTAGCCCTGTTTGCATGTTCAAACATGTGTGATTCCTTTTCCAGTTGAGAATTCGCTCCTTTGGGAGTCATCCTTTGGCCTTGTTTAAAGGGCTCCCATTGGTTGTTTAATCTGTTTCCATGATTTGAAGGAAGGACATGAACGTGTTGATTATTTTCAAATTGAAGCCATGCTGAAGAAATTAAATTGAAAGGGACGCGGTGGCTCAGTGGCTAAGACGCTGAGCTTATTGATCAGAAAGGTCGGCAGTTCGGCGGTTCGAATCCCTAGCGCAGCGTAACTGAGTGAGCTCCCGTTCCTTGTCCCAGCTTCTACCACCCTAGCAGTTCGAAAGCACGTAAAAAATGCAAGTAGAAAAATAGGGACCCCCTTTGGTGAGAAGGTAACAGCGTTCCATGCGTCTTTGGCATTTAGTCATGCTGCCCACATGACCACGGAGACGTCTTCGGACAGCGCTGGCTGTTCGGCTTTGAAACGGAGATGAGCACCACCCCCTAGAGCCGGAAACGACTAGCACGTAGGTGCAAGGGAAAACTTTACCTTTACCTTAAAGAATTAAAGACAAATGTTTACAAGAGCCCTGGTGGTTAAAGTGCAGTATTGCAGGCAAACTCTGCCCACTATTGGGAGTTCGATCCTGACCGGCTCAAGGTTGACTCAGCCTTCCATCCTTCCAAGGTCGGTAAAATGAGGATTGTTTAGGGGCAGTTTGCAAATAATGCTTAACGTTGTAAAACCAGCCAGAGAATGCTGTAAAGCTGTGTGGGGCTGTATATAACCCTAAATGGTATTGCTAAAGGGTATTACATACTTGACATTGATAGCAGTATTCCGGTACTTGAGGGGCTGCCACAAAGAAGAGGGGGGTCAAATTATTCTCCAAAGCACCAGAGGGCAGAATAAGAAACAGTGGAAACTAACCAAGGAGAGGCGCGACCTGGAATTATGGAGAAACTTCCTCACAATGAGGACGTTTAACCAGTGGAACAGGTCACCTCCAGAAATCTTGGGTTTTTAAGAAGAGACTAGACAGTCACTTATCTGAGATGATATAGGTTCTCCTGCTAGAGCAGGGGGCTGGACTAGAAGACCTCCAAGGTCCCTTCCAGCTCATTCATTCATTCATTCATTCATTCATTCATTCATTCTGTTAATCAAGGAGAGAAGCAACCAGGAATTAAGGAGGAACTTCCTAATAGTGAGAACAATTAACCAGCAGAACAGCTGGTCACCAGAAGTTGTGGGTGCTCCATCGTGGAGATTTTTAGGAAGAGACTGGGCAGCCATTGGTCTGAAATGGTATAGGGTCTCCTTGCTTGAGCGGCTGGACTAGAGGACCTCCAAGGTCCCTTCCGGCTCTATTCTGATTGATTGCTATGCTATTCTTCATTGCCAAGATGAGTTAGTCTAACTGCTTTTCTTTTCTTTTCCTCCTCTTCTCTCCCTCCACACCATCGCCCCCTTTTTTTGGGGGGGCGTGAAGACTCTCCTCTCAACCAAGATTTGGGCTGGGCACCAATCGTGGCCTCCTTGCAGGTTCCAGAACTCGCAGCCGAAGACTTCCTTCAAGAGTCCCTTGCGTTGGGAGGCTACCTCACCCTTTATATTTACACCCTGCAGCAGCTGAATGCTGAGCGGACACTCACCAACGAAATGAGAGTGCTCTTTACGCTAAGCAAGTGGTTGGAACAGGTGTATCCCAGGTAGATCCCAGTCAGCTTACATCCCCTAAGGCGGGACAAGTACTCACCTTCTCTCAAGGATTGGCTGAAAGTCACCCAGCTGGCTTTCATGCCTAAGGCGGGGCTAGAACTCTCAGTCTCCTGGTGATTGGCCTAAAATCA